TGTCACCTTTCAAAGTGGATTTAGAGTGGTTGTTATTGGAGACATTCAATGATTGCCAATAATACATACTTATTGGGCATTCTTTCGAAACCAACTCAATTTCTACAAAAACATTTGCCAAGGAAAGCCTTGTAGAAATGGGACACATACAATAACTTTGCCCAGGGCTTTGGCTCATTCCTTTCTGCAAGAATTTATGAAATATCCCCCATGAGATTCTGTAAATTAGATCCTTAAGCCTAACACCCCATCACTTTGCTGGTTAAATAATAAGAAAAGACAAAATGTCCAGGATTTTAGGCATAGTAAATCATAGAATGGTTTGGAGTATGCTTCCTTGGACACGCTGCTAGGGGAGTCTGTTTTTAAAGTAAAAAGATCTATATGAAGTGATATTACAGTATCAGACACACTCAGTTAAGTATTACTTAGCAACATGCTGCTTTTACATCACAATTATTCCAGTCACTCTCAAGAAATAGAGGTAGATCAAATTTTATCAGGAAGTTGTCCAATGGGTGATGGCACCCAGGATTTATTTCTTTAGACTGTTAGCATTTCCAGCTTTTCCCTTTAGTTAGCTTAAGAAGCTGACATGTTATATGATCTGAGAAATTATGTGAACTCCCATGAGTAAGTGGAGGTTTCTCTGCAGACCAAAAAGATTTTAAGTATTTCTAGATGACTCTTCCCTGCACAAAGAGTTACTGATTCAAATAATCTGAGACCTCATGCATATAGAAGCGTATCATAAGACTTTCACTTTGATTTTGCTAGAATCTTATCTTCATCTGAGATTCCAGCATTTAACTTTGCCTGTAAAAAGGGAAAATTTAGGCTGTTTGTTAAAACATGCTCTGAGGTAGTTGTTGTTGAAACTTTTAAGTTCACCCGGCCTTAGAGGTTCATTTCTGAAGCAGGGTTCAGCTTACCTCCTGGTAGGAGGAACACATATACACTAAATGCTTCTCTAAGGAAACAAGCATCCCATGTGACCTTTTCCTTCTGTATTCTTAACACTGACTTATCACCATTGCAGCTGTTTGACATTTTGCAGGGTAGTGCACGGCACCCCCTCATCTCTGCTTTTTCTCCCTTCTTCATAGTCCCTGTTTGCAAAAGAGCTCTGTATTTTAAATATTTTCTACTCAGCAGCAGTACATGTTTTCAGGCATTGGGTAACACTATCACTGCTATGAGAAAAAAGAGTTGAAAACATCTGTGACTCCAAACTTCATGGAAAAAAAAATAAGAAATAGCAAGCATTGTTTTTCACAGTCACTAAACATTATCCCTCAGAATCAGTCCTATTTGTATATGAAAACTTTGATTGCAGGGTCTGAGAATGAAGAACTTAAGATTTCTAGAATAAAAAGAGATCATCTTTTTTAGCTAAAGAACAGAAGCTTCTAAATTACTCTCTGGTAAGGTCTCTAGGAAAAAAAAGAATTTTAGGAAGAATAGCATGTCTGTTACAAAACTGTTACTAAGATTTCAAAACAGTAAGATACAACTACAGGACACGTTTTAAGTAGTGATTGTCATCTAGTGGAGATCCACTTTTAACCCAGGATTGTTATTTTTCAAACTGAGGTCAAGGAAAAGAAAGGTTCCTTTGGCATCCATCAGCTAAATCAGCCCCCTTTTTTTCAAAGCGCCTGGTGATAAATGCTGTGCTTTCTTGGTTCAAGTCTTAAACAGTCAATGCGAGCAGAAGATGAAGGACAAAGCAAGATCTGCTCTTGGCTCATTTTCCCAATATAGGCAAAGCCCTCACCTTCATTTTCTTGGTTCCTTGAAAATAGAAATGAAAAAAAAAAAAAAGTTATGACCGCCATACCTGGTGGGAAATCACTGGAGTTGAACTTGTCAGCCTCTTAATCCACTTACGATGATAGAGTGCTGATTTGTGCATCTAATTACTGAAGCCTAATTATTGCTGCAGTGAAATCAATGTGGCATGATAAATATGCTCCGCATTCCCAGGAATGAGATCTGTGGTTCCCCTTCTTCTCACGTTAGTGGTGACCTTATTTGTAATCTTATTGAAACACAAGCTTTGTCAAAGATTCAAAGTCACCCTTTACAGGCATTGAGAGCTCTTCAGTGTGCATCTAAAACTAGCATCATGAGGTGGTAGGTAATGAAGTTTGGCTTCCTAAGTAGAAATTGCTAATTTATTAGAGTTCTTTGAGGTGGAAAATAGGAATGTAGATTTTTAAAATCCCATAGATGCATTTTACAAATTATTTAAAAAGCAGTTTTGAAAATGTTCTATACTGCCCTGACACAGTGGCCCATGCCTGTAATCCCAGCACTTCGGTTGAGGTGGACCGATCACTTGAGATCAGGAGTTTGAGACAAGCCTGGCCAACATGGTGAAACCCCATCGCTGTAAAAAATACAAAACTTAGCTGGGCCTAGTGGTAGACACCAGTAATCCCAGCTACTTGGGAAGCTGAGGTAGAAGAAACCAGGGTGGAGGAGGTTGCAGTGAGCCTGAAATCGTGCCACTGCACTCCAGCCTGGGTGACAGAGTGAGACTCCATCTCACAAAAAGCAAACAAACAGACAAACAAAAAATTTCCACACCAACAATTTCTAATACATGCAAATGCTATATTCCTGGGGTGGGGGAGTATTCTTTTTTTTTTTTTTTCTCAGAAAATAAACTGGTTTAAGAGATGAAAATAAAACAGAATACACATGATCATTTCTTGTATCAAAACAGAAGCTAGAAGAAGAAAAAAATTGAGTTTCCCTGAAATCATAGTGCTGATGGATTATGTTTCTCATGCTCATTACAGGATGTTGATAAGCATTATCGTTTGCATTCTCAAGAATCACTCAATACTCTGTTTCATTCGGTCACAGGTGTGACCCAAGAACCTGTAATTTTCAGTCTTGACCAACAGTAGTATATTTATAGCTAATTTGCTACATGCCACATGCTCTTTTAAGAATTTCACATGAATTAATTCTATTATTTCTTCTACCAACCCCAGCAGATAGAACTATACCCATTTTATGGTTTAAGAAGCTGAGGCAAAGAGAAGTTAAACATTTTCTCCAAAATCACAGTGAGTGGCAGAGTTACAAGTATATGTAAAAATATGTTCTAAGTGATGACCTAGGAAAAGCAAATGGACATAATTGATGACTGTTTGGTAAAAATGAGGTTTCCATGTGCAGCTCCTCTCCAAAACCTTAAGTATACTGACTTCTATTAAACATGGCACCCACTCACCCACAGACTCTGTTTTATTGAGGTTTCAGAAAAATATTTGCTTGCTTTCATTGGCTTTAAATTTTGTTGCTTATTTTGGAATGCATAGCTTCATTAGCAAAAGGGGGTTTGGTGTTCTTAATGATGTAAAGGAACAAAAGAGTAACATATCACTGGTTTTTCTTGTCTATTGCTGGCCAAAGATCTATTTCTTCTCACTTTTTTGCTTTAATGGGTGTGTGTCTGTGTGTGTTCAAAAAGACTCAAGCAGCTTCATGGGTTTATGGAGCCTCGGTAGACAGAAATAATGGAGTAAAAAAAGGAAAATGTTAATTCATTCTGAAATGAGTATCTAAGAGAGGAGAAATGACAAAATCAGATATTTAATGAAACAAATGCTGGGAGAGGCTGAGAACAAGCCTTAGCAGAGCAGTTTTGATTGTCTTGAAGGTATCTTATAATCACCCAGGGGTGGTGGCATGTGAGTATGGAGATTGAAGGCAGAGACACAGTATTGTAATGCTGTGCTTCAGCATGACTTCAATCAAGCAAAATCAAGTTCATGTCAGGTCCTGCTTGGTGATAGCTATGAGTTAACAAAAAGAGCAGAAACTTTCAGAGACAACATTTCCATGTATCAATAAATTTACATTGCTATAAAAGTAATCATTTGATTGTCGACTGTTATATAGATGTTTCATATGAGTATCTTTTCTTGTCAATAGGAATAGAAGCTTAAACACAGGGGCAGTGGTTTCTGCTATTCTGGATGCCATTTAATACCAAGCAAAGCACCGGACATCAAGAACTGAACTGAATTTAATTGGCTATATTATATTACATCAATGTATCTTTACCTTGCTCTTTGCCTGTCCCTGTGACCCAAAAAGTGGTGTGTCCAATTCCAGGTTAGTAAATTTAAGGTTTCCACTCTTTCTTTTTATTTGATTGAAGTTGGATGAGAGAAAATGAAGCCTATGTAATATACAACATATTAATGTTATGTTCACATACACATATGCTTTTACAAAAGCAAGTTTTGGCATCAGCTACACTTTAAAATCTTATCACTGTACTTTTATCAAATGAGATTAGTATCTAAAAATAATGGATGTAATTATTAGAAGAAATTTTGCATTAAAATAAAGAAATAAACATCAAAAGGCAGGTCTGAGCACAGAAAGTTTGCATCCTATTATTTGTTTCATGGAGTTCACAAATTTTCTGAAGCACCAAATATATATATATATATTCTGTAGTCTATTGCCCATTAGGTGAAGAAAACATGGTCACTGGCTCATACTTAAAATAAGAGGAAAAAAATTACTTCTCCTTCTAATGCATTTGTCAATGCTCCAAAGAAATAAACAATCTGTGAATAGTTCAGCACAATTCTATATTTACAAAGCATAGTGGATTTAGTCTAACATTTTCCCACCTGGAAAAACTGGGCTTAAGTATCTTCGACAATCAAAAAGCAATACTGCATTCTTCCCGATATGCTATGTCACCTTTGTAGCACTCACACACTTGCAGGGAAGGGACTCGGGGCTGGGGGTGGTTCTGGTGTAGAAATTGCAGATGGAGAGCTGGGCTCTGGGGATGGAAATGGAGAGGAGCGAAAAGGAGCCTGGAGAAAAGGCTGTCATATTTGCTAGAAGAACCGCCAAATCAGAGAGCAGACAAGATTTCATTGGAGGAGCGCCTTTAACAGCAACTAATCCTGTCATATTGAAAGAAAATTGTAAATGTTCTCTCCAGAAATTGTCCGCCCATTGCAGCTAATCGAACACACACACGCACGAATACAGACACGCTCTCCTGCTGTACCAAAGGCGCCCGGGCGCGAAGACCTAGGGAGCGCGCGCGGGCACACACACACACACACACACACACACACACTCACACACTCCAGGCTGCGGGTTGGCCAGAGCCTAGAAATCGCAGATTTCACCAGGAAATCGCCGAGGTACCGGAATAGGTGTCGCCTCCTGAAACTAATTCCTACTTCCCCAAGCACTTTGTTGAAGAAATGAATCCAGCCCAGCTGGCCGAGGTATCCAGGTCTCCGTTCTATTTTGGTCTCCAGGCGCTTCGTGAAAGCCAGGTTTGAAAGTCTTGTTTGCTTCTCCTTTGGTGGTTCGGCGTGGAGGGTGGGGGCAGTGTCGATGTAACTCCAGTCTAAACCACGAACAGGTCACAGACTAGCCAAGTGGCTGGGACGAGAGTGGGGTGCGTGACTCTGCCTGCGCGCGCGCGCGCGCCAGCTCCACAGCTCTCGCCGGAGCCTTTCGGTCGGTTCTCTCCCGCCTCTCCCGCCCCACCCCTCCCGTGTCTCGGCACCAACTAATCTTTTCCTTTTCTTTTGCAAGATCAAGGGAGAAAGACCAGCAGCTGGCCTCGGACTCTAAACCGTGCGCAGCTGGAGCCCGGGCGGATCGGCCCTGAACCTATAAAGGGCTCCTCGCGCCTTAAAGCCTCCACCACCTCGCAGCCGGGGAGGCAACTGGAGCGAATCAGCGGCAGGTAAGGGCACCGCGCTGTGCGGCTCTCCACTTGCCCACTCCAAGGGCCCTGGCACCAGGGGGTCTCTCCCTTCGTATCCCCCAAAACCGGACTGTCAAGGGTCAGGGCTTGCGGGGGGGGGGGGAATTGGAGGAGGTCCTACCCACGTGCAGATTGTCAGACGGAAACTTTGGATCCTGGGGCTTGGAGGGCTGGGGCAGTGATGGCGGGTCTGGAAGGAAGGGGCAAATGAGGCACAGCGCGGGGTGGGGTACCCCTACGATTCCGAGGGTCACTGAGTCCAGCCGAATGTGGCGAAAGCAGCCTGGGAGCCGCTCTGTCCCGGCATCGCTCCCTCTTCCAGTCCCCAGTTCCCTCTACTGTTGCCGACCCTCCTCCCGCCACCCACTCTAGATGCGGCCTTGGACTAGACAAGGAGAGCTTCGTCCCTCCCGCCCCTCGCGCTCCTTCCTGCTGGGGTCTGACCGCGTCTTCAGTGCATGTGGGATGGAGGCCCGGCTCGCCCCGGCTCCAAGCTATCCCCGGCTCCGCTTTAGGAGCCGCCCTCCGGCGCTGGAGAGGTTTCCCATTGCAGTCTCCGGATCATGGCCTCGAAGCAGAAGCAATAAGAATGGGGGAGAGGGTCCCAAGACAAAAGAGAGGGAAGCCTTCTGCAATGCCATGGTATTTTAGCCCCGCGCAGGAGCGCGCAAATCCGCGGTGGCTGGGGAACAGGTCCCAAACCGAAGCCCATGAGACACGGGACTGTGCCTGGGCTTCGCCACCTAACTCACAATGGGTCCTGAACCGCCCCGGCAGGCCCCGGGGTCGTAGATTGGGGACCGCTGCACCCACCCAATGTCCCTTGCGGTCCGCACCTGAGGTCCCAGGCAATCACCGCTTAACTTGTAGCTCTCGGACCCGGACAGGTGCGGTCCATGCCTGGTGCCGGTTAGACTCGCAGAAATTCCACCTGTGCGCGCTGCCGGGCGCCCAGGGGTCCCCTCGCGGGGTAAGTGGAGACTCGTCTGGGAGAAGTGAAAATTCCCCAGAATTACTGACACACAGGGCGGCACACCCTTAGCCTCTGTCCGCTTTCAGTACCCCCCATCCCTTCTCCATCTTCCTGCCCATCGCCGTCCTCGAGGCTGCCCTGAGATGCCGAATTGTCCCAGAGAGGGTCCACCGACCCGCTGGTGCCTGGTGATGATGCCAAGACTCTTGCATGTACAGAAATACCAGCAGGGAGGGTCGCCAGGGGCAGAGAGGCTGGAGGAGAACAGAGAAATGGAGGTAAACGCGTAAAGCCAGCAGAGCTGTCGGCGGACATCTCACCCAGGCCGCCCTCCCGCGTCCTTAGGTCAGTTCACCGCCACAGCACGTCTGTGGCTGCGGCCACCCAGGGCTCCAAGTCTGCCAGCCCAGGCGCCGCGAGCCAAGAAGAGCGCAGCGCCTCCCACTCCTCAAGCTCCGGAATCCCCCACAGTGACTTTCTATTTCCCTTTCTTCTTTGCTTTTTTGTTTTGCTTTTCCTGCTCTTTTCTTAGCGCTGGGTGGCAATGGGTTTGTGGCAGCCGTGTGATTTGCCCATCCCCTAGGACACGCAGCCAGCGACACAAGCACACAGCGACCAGTCTCCACGCTCTGCCACACACTCTTCAGCGCTCCGGCGCGCAGCCCCCGCTCCACAGCCCGGAGCTCCCGCAGCCACCGCCATGGTCAGGGCCACGGCCCGCACAGGGCTCTGCGGGTCGGGTGGGGAGTCAGCCTAGATTCCAGAGACAAACCTCGGGGCCACCCGAAAGGCCTGAGGAAAAACTGGAATTGGGGTTAGGCTTCAGGGGAGGGAGGCTCTGGGGAAAACCGGCCGGGCTGTGCGAAGCACCAAGGGTTCCTGCGGCTGCAGCGCTGCAGGCCGCCCCGCCCCGCCCAGCCCCGCCCCGCCGCCGGGCGTCCCCCCAGGAGCCCACCCGCGGGCAGCAGCTTTTCTCCATCCTGCCCAGGGAAGTTCGATGCCCGGGTGCTGGGACGCGCCGGCGATTCTCTTCTTTCCTGACAATTCTGGCGTCTCCGATTGAGAGGGCTCTCAAAACGAAGCTTTTAATAAACTCCAGAGTAAGGAACTCGGGATTGTGCGGCAAAGGTAGCGCATTGCACTTTGTGGGCAATCGGTAAATATGTAGCACCATATGATAGGAATATATGCATTTTCATTGATAAGATGATAATAGAGATGACGGTATCTTTATACAGAAGCCCAAAACAGGAATACCTGTGCCGTGGTTGGGGAGGTAATAATAATGACACTGATTTTCACAGAGGTAAAACCAGTTGACTTGGCCAAGAGGCAATTTTAAGTTGGGAAATGTATTCCGCTGCAGTTCAGAAAGTGGACTTTTGAGACTTGTCAAATGGATGGAAGAATTTTGTGCCAACAATGTCCCAGCTTTGCAGGCTTGGCAGCTGAGGACTCAGAAGTAATAAATCAATGCCAGGTGAATTATGATTGTTATTGCTATTATCAGTAATGTGATCTAGTTGTAGCAATACAATAAATAAGCAATTCCCTATTGACTCGATTTGCTTTCCTGGGCTAGACAATAATGCCAATTACAATTTTAAAGATGTAACCTGACCCTAAAAAGAGGTGAGAACTATAGCCAAATCTGTTTACCATTTTAAAATAAACCTCTGTGAATGAGACAGGGTGAAAATGAGGGAAAGTCTCCAGACCCCAAATTCCCAGGGCTAGACTGCCTGACAGATGCTTCATTTTCCTATAAAACAAAGAGCCATGTTTGTTTGTGTAAGGGTGCTTGAGGGTGCCTGGAGGCGAATTGGAGTGAGCAAATAGGTGGATTTGAATACTTCTGTCACAGTTTGAGTAAAAGAGAACCCAAAGAGCTCTCAACTAACTTCAGAGACAGATTGGGAAAGAAATAGCAGGTCAAATACCAGTAAAAGTCCATTTGGCTTAGTTCCCAGGGTCCCTCAATATTGGGAGGCCGAGACTATTGTCATGTTACAAAACAAACAAAACAACACATATTGCTCTAAATCTGACTGATCCCCTTTATTGCTCAGATAATCCATATAGTAAGGCATCCAGATGTGTCTTCACTGGACAATTTTCCAATTCCAATTCCAGAGCAGCCATTCCCCAGGGCCAAGAGAAATAGGTGGTTTCAGAGGTCCAAAGAAAACAGTTCCAGCCTGCTAGCAGGTAGAAAAGGCACAAAAAGCATGAATGATGCTGTCTTGAATGGAAGGTAGGCTGACTAATTAGGAATCACAAGTCTCTTGGACCCAAAGCAATGAGTAAAGTTACAGCAAGCACAAACGAGGGAGAAGAGAAATTAGAGTAAAAGGGAAATGAAGAAAGAATTGGGAGAGAGAAAAATGAGGGCAAGAATCTGTGCATATGTCAATAATCATGCTGGATTCAACCTCCATGACTAATGTCAGCCTTTGTTTAGGATATGCATGTGGGCAAACCCCTGCTGTTGTCTTCTGACCACTCAGACACCATTCTCAATCCCGTCTTAAACTTTTCCCACTTTACTCAGTAGGATAGAGACTGACAGAAATATTTTGCCACACAGTTCTCTTGAAGAATTGGTTTTCTTCATTTAAACTTATATTAGACCTGCTTGAGATTTTATGACGTGGATTCTCTGTGACATAGTTCTCAATAGAGTCCTATGTATCAAATGCTACCAATGATTACTAACAACTGGCTTTTGTTTCCTATCACCTGTATCCACTCTGGCTACCTTTGGTTCATTGAGCAGGTGTCGAGACTTCTCTCACTTAAGATAAATGGTGTAAGTTACTGACTGCATATTCCACAGCTCACCTGGCCTAGGTGGGGGAGGTGAAATGTGGGGAAAGAGATGAAAGTCACCTTTTCTTAGACAGATATTTTGCTGAGTGTGTTCTAAGTTCCCAGCACTATTCTAACCATTTCCCTGTAAGATATTTTCTGTTTTATCAGTTGCTTTAGCCTTACTCTTTAAAATACAGCCAGGCACACCCAAGGCACATATTTAATGTTTGTTGAATGAGTTAATAATCAATTTTTTCATTTTCTCATTGCAACAATCCTATGTAGTAGATGTTATTTTCCTGCTGTTACAGAGGAAGAAACCAGCATTCAGAGGCATCTAATAATGACCCAAGATCATACAGCTAGTAAGTTGCAGCCCCTGGATTCAAACACAAGCCTGTTGGATTCCACAGTCTTAGTTCTTATATTGTGTTGACTGGCTCTTTATAAATAGTTGTGACACTTGCTTTCCCTGTGTTTGGGGAAAACAAAATTGTGGGATTCAGAAATCAAATGATGTTCTCTCCATCTGTTAATTCAACTTTTCATGTTGTTGGATCCCCTAAACCCTTAGCAAAGCAGATGCAGCGCTGAGTGGATTCTTAGTTGGCACAGCGTGCTTGTGTTGTTTAGTCAGTGATTGCCTCTGGCAGAGGTAAACAAGGGCACCAAAACGTTGGCAGATCCCATTTTCACCTCTCAGCTATATAGTACATTACTAAACAGAAGTTCTTTTGTCTGATGCAAAGTAATAAAAGTTAATTTTGGTATCATTCAGTTTAGCTCATGATAGTAAGCGGATGAAGAGACATTTTCAAGGTGACACAGCTGACCAAGACTGCATAAGAACACAGGCGTCCCAATTCCAGTCAAATTGTCTCTTCATTTTTCCATGCTAAATGACTTCTCTTTTTGAATGAGACTGTTGGCACTTAGGATTCTGAATCTCAATGATTCCATTTAATTTTAATTAGTATTTATTATCCACATTTGCTTTGAAAGTATAATGTTACTTTGCAAACTGCTATTAGCAAAGAGGTAGGTTCCAGTTGGTTTTCCTCTTTCCACTCTTTATATATCTTTGCCTTACTTTATTTATTTCTCTCTCTCTCTCTTTTTTTTTTTTTTTTCCACATGTTCTAGCTCCTTCTTTTATACTATGACCTAAATATACAATCATCTTAACTGGTGCTGT